CCCCAAAACCCCAAAACCCCATTGATAAATCTTCAATTTTAATCTTTATTAGATATTTATGAAAATCATTAATAAATCTTATAATATAATCTATGATAAATTTATTTAAATCTTCTCAAAAGTATTTTATTAAAAATATTCATTCATCCACCTGATCACCTTTAATTTTATCTTCCATTACTTGCTATTTCTCAATTTTCTAAACTTAGTTTCTCTTTACTCTTTATTTTTTGTTTTCAATGTCAGATACTTTAACAACTATCTAGGATGATACTTCAGGAACATAATTTTAATTCTGTAAGACACTCTTTGTGTTATTAAGACTTTCATCATAGATTTCGAGAAATTAATTTGAATTGAAATTTTTGTGTATTTTTATTATTGGTGGGAGTTTTGTCTGAATTTTAGGTGGTTTTATAGTTTAAAAACTATCAGATTTAGAGGTTTCGTTTTTTATTTTATCATTTTATTAATAAATGACATTCTTATCCTTATTCTCTTTAACAAACATTCTCAATAACCCTATAGATAGTGACGCTTTTAAGCCTTTCTAATAGTAATTGCTTTGATGGCAATGAGAAAAAAGATTATCTATGATCGTCTAATTATAAATATTCTACTTTTATTTAGTATCAACAAAGAGCTCTATCATTGATTCTGTTAAAGTATCCATTATCTTACTTTTATTTTGTAATTAAATCTTATTATATTCTTATTTTTCCTTTTATCTATTCAAGCTAGATTCTATCAAGTATTTTTTTAAGTATGGCAATAGCTTTCTTTGAAAATTAAGCAACATCAATTTTGAAACCATTTACTACTCTCTTGATTTCCTTATAATCTAGATAATATCCAGCTTTTTATCTATTTTAGATATTGCAAGATCATATAACTATCTTCTTAGAGTTTTTTATCTTCAACCTAAAGTCAGACAATTCCAAAAGCAATCTTTGCAAGCTTCTTATTTTTAGTAGAAAAATTTACTTCTATTTTTCAGATCAATCACCATGCTTAGGAAATTTGTAGGGTTTAAATTTTTCAAATCATATTTTTCCTAATTTTCTGTTTTATCATTATTATCCAATTTCTCAGTTAAATATGTCTTTTTAATAAGACTTTGATAAAAAAAGAATTCTTAAATAGGATTTATTATAAATGCAATAACTCCAACAACATAACTCGCCAATCCACCAACATTAGAAAACATACTAACAAGATTGAATTAAATCTTTTCAAATCTTGTTTGTTAATCTTTAATAACCAGCCTTAGTGTCAAATATGGGATATTATTATTATCAAGTCTAGCCTGGATATTTCCCTCTTTATATCTTGTTTAAAAAAATTACATTTCAAATTAATCTAAACCCTCATATAAGAAGGATTATGATCCAGAGATAAAATTGAATTATGTCTCATAAATTTCTTAACCTGAATAATTCTATCTTAATCCAAAAAAATCATGAATTACTTAAGTTATTAGTGGAAACTTTGAATTATTATCCTTATCAAACTAAGTTGTTGATATAATTATTTCAAAATTTGCATTCTAAAATATATCATTTATAAGTGTCTTATTTCTTTCACATTGTAATCCAGGATATGTTTTATTCAACTCTGATTGATTGCAAGGTGCTACTTAAATTTATACTACCTCATTATTTGTTTTATTAATAATTAGATTTTAGGTTTATTGAATTTTATAGCAGTCAATTGAAGTATTATAATCTTTCATATGAGATTTGAGAATTTACTAAAATTCCAAATTTCCTTAAAAGTCAGATTCAGTGCATTTTACTTTAAGCATATTACTTTTTTAAGAATATGCAGTAGTTCTTATTATTTGCTCATCAATGATGCTTTTGTAGGAATCATATCTATGAAATATTGAAGCTACATATATATCATTTTAAGTTATTGTTAAAGTCTTATTTTCTAATACATCATATGTAATAGCAGTTATACGACTTTTTCGATCAATAACATCATTTAGTTATGAAATGAAATAAGTTCCAATTAAGAAGAATGTAATTAAACTAAGAGTAGCTCCTAGAAAACTGTTTCTTGAATATCTTCCATTGTATTTTAATTGAACTTAATACCCATACATATCATATTCAATGAATTTTTTGTGAACCCTATAGAAAAAGTTATGCATCTTCTTAAATTAATTTATTAAAAATAGAGCTTAGATCGATATTAAATCAATGTTTTTCACCGTATTTTTGTTAAATTATTCAAAAGTATTAATTAATCTCTTTAAAAAATTACATAAAATTGATGAAAATTCTATCAAATGGGGTTTTGGGGTTTTGGGGTTTTGGGG